AACAGATTAAGGATAAGTGATAATGGCAAGTCACTTACTATAAGTGAACCTTATTGAGAGGGTTCATTGAAATTATGAAGTTGCAGTTAAGAAAGGAAAACTAGGTTTTAACCACAAATAGAATAAAAATTCAGTTTTTCCCCCAAGGGTGACTAAAAGCTCTCCTTCCTAAAAACATGCTACCATAAATGCTCACATAATCTGCTAGAGAAGGTAAAAGGGTACAATAATGAAGATAAAAAAGCTTTATATTAAGATAAAGAGGGTGGCTTTTAACTGAGGTGAGATGATGGTGTTACTTTGCTAGCAGTCATCAAATCAATTATTGTATTTGTAAGCCTTAAAGGTCTACAGAGTATGAAATGAAATTAATTTAAACGAACAAATAAAGGTTTATTACACGCTGAAAAGAGAAGAAAAGAAACAACATTTCGGGTGTGGAGCCTTCTTTGGCTGTCTCTGCCGAAACGCAATGTTTCTTTTCTTCTCTCTTCAGCAGGGAATAAACCTTGATCCTCTGCAGCCCATGCATGCTGACACAGCCACCTACAGTACTTGAACTAATTTAAATGAAGTTAATTTCAGACGTGTGCTAACAAGCTAAGCATATTCATTTAAAACAAAACAAAAACAAATGGAAGAGCATATTATTGTGGTTCATTTCGGGATTTGAAATTAAACAATCTCATTTTAGCCAATTAATGACATCTCGCAAATGCACTAAACTACAATTACAGGTGTACATCAGATTTCTAATCTGACCTGAGGCACGCATTTCAAATGCTGTACAGTCTGAGACTGTACATCATTTTTACCTCCAGTAGGTCTGTGTGTGTTAAGAGCAGATTCCCAGAATGCTCTGAGGTCATGTCCTGTGTAACCAGTGTCTGTTCCTCTGTCTCCTGCACAGGGGCTGTCTGGAGGTGGGGCTGGAGGCGCTCCTGAAGGCAGCGGCAGGAAACCTGCTGATCCTCAAGGTGTCTCACTGCCCCAACATCCTGACAGACCGCTCCCTCTGGTTGGCCAGCTGCTACTGCCGCGCCCTGCAGGCCGTAACCTACAGGTTAGAGGAAAGGCCAGGAGCTGTAGACGCGATTGCAAATGCTGCCATCTGGTGGACAGGAAGAGAAGCTACAGCTATAACAATCTGCGGTTCAGTCTGGGGGGGATAAACGTTTTTTTAACTCCTTATGGGAATGACACGTGTTTAGCATCATGTCCAAATTCAAACACTGTCGTATCAAATGTGTAGAAACCAATTAAAACAGAATGGCTTCTCCAAGTATATTTACAATAAAGATCCTGTAGTAAATTATGATGTGCTTGAAAGAATTCTTAGTAAATTGTGTAGAACCATCAGTGGTTTCTAATGTGTTACTCAAATCCGTTTTTAAGTGAACACTTTATGTGAACTCTACATTTTCTAGAGTAGATAATATGAAATATCCATGTCAGGGGACCTGCTATGCAGACTTCACTCTATCTAAACACAAGTTTGTATTTAATCTGTTTCTTATACTGGGATTTGGAATGTTGTGAACAAATTGAATATACTAAAAGGAAAGAAATTGTATCTTTATAACCTTTTTAATGTGTCGAATTACTGAAACAACTGTTATTGAATTTTACGTATTTATTTTCAGGTAAAACACAAATTAAAATATAATGGCATATAACACCTCATCACTAGGACGATATGACATCCCAGTTTGTTTCAGTCAATTTTGGACTCTAAAATATTCAATTCTAGGCACAGGAATATCCACTAATGTGACTGACCTGACATTATTGTTTCTTCTTTGTTTTCAGTTAGTTCCATTGTACAGAAACAAAAAACACACAGCTAGGTCAATGACATGTTTGTAATGTTTAGGAGTGCCACAGATCCTGTTGGCCAGGAAGTGATCTGGGCACTTGGAGCAGGCTGCAGAGACATCATCTCCCTCCAGGTGGCGCCACTTCATCCATGGTGAGGAGCTGCATGCAGGGAAGCAAAACACGCACACAGCATACATAAAACATAAAACGTAAAGCAGAATCTCCCTTTTGATTCTTTAAAAAATCCTTGTTTATTTCAGTGCATTTTTCCAGATTTTTAAAATAAATTATAAATGTTCAATTGTATAGTATTTCTTTGTTTTTACTTCATTTATGAAGTTAAGGTATTTGCCTCCTAGACAGTGTTGGAGGATTACTTTTAGAACCGACCGAGAAGTTGGGGGAAAGTAAATGAGTACAGTGATACACATAGTGTCTAGTGTGTGTATAGTTACCGTTAAAGCAACTTCCTCCAGTGTCTTGGCAATTTTAAAATGTAACCCTTTACACAAGTAACTTCTGTTTGTAATGGATTACTTACTAAAACTACTGTGAATATCCCTGACACTGCCTTTGGAATGAACTGGACAAACTAAGGCCCATGTCAAATCCTATCTTGGAGCCATCAGCCAGTCCCACAGTTGTTTGGGACTGCTGTTTTCTGGCAGATTTAATTTGATAGAAGCAAGGAGATGTTTGTAAACAAAATGCCACCATTAAACATGGGGTTCATAAAGTGCAACTGGTGGGTGGCAAGCTTTGCTTGGTCTCAGCTTGAGCATTCCAGCTAGATTTAAAGTCTGTTACGTATACGCTACTGAGCAGGTTATCTCGTATCAGGCCAAGGAGGCCAAAGTAAATCGATCTCTTTAAAATAAACAGCAGGAACAGAACAATGTCTTTGGCTAGAATTTTCAAGCCTCACATTATTCCTTTCAAAATATCTTTCAATGCAACAGCATGAGCTTTTGTAATGGTGTGTGCTACCTGTTTGGCCTGATGTGCTTGATCTATACAGAGGACACTATTTGAATACTTAATTAGAAAATGAACATTAAAAATATATGGCAATTAATCTGCAGTTCCTAGTAAGAGAAGCTAAAAGGAAGCATTTTTTAGTAATATTCAAAACATTTCTTCTTTAATCAGTCTAGTGCAGCTATTTAGTGGCATTGAGTTCATACAGTGTATGATGTACAGAACCTTCTGATAATGTTTTGGCAATATTAATACCAAAATACATCCATACAAAGGGCGAGAGAACTGAACTAAGTAATTATAGACCAGCAAGTCTGTTTTCTGTTACATGTAAGATAATGGAAATGATTATCCAGTAAGAACTAAACTAGAGGCTTACCAACAGTATGTGAAAAAAATATCTAAGTAAAGAGTCAGCGCGGATTTAAAACAGTAATGGAAACACATACGTCTCATGACGGGACGTATTTAGATTTTCAGGTTTTTGATAACACTCCTCATAAATGATGAATTTTGCCCCAGTAGTCTTACACACTATTGCAATGTCAGCATTTTCCATGCTGTTTCAAAAAGTGGCTTTATGGTGTGTCTGCAGAAGGGGGTCTGAGTGGATTCTCTTGTCACTTTTGCCTGTTCCTGTCTCCAGTCAACAGCCAGCTCGGTTTAGTAACCGCTGCCTGCAGACCATTGGACGATGCTGGCCACACCTCCGTGCCCTGGGCGTGGGCGGGGCTGGATGCGGCATTCAGGGCCTGGCATCACTAGGTGAGTCAGACTGGCATCATTTCACGCCTCCGTTCTGTCTGGCTTTGGAAGATGAAAGTGATCTGAAAAACTGCTCGCACTTCAGTTTGCTTGTTCCATCAGCAACACGTTAAAGAGCTTTTTAGTCTCAGGTGGTACAAGCTGGATACTTTTACCAAAAGTTGCTGCCAAACAAACAAGGAGAGACAGATGCCCCCTCTATAATGTAATATGCTCAATAAATGTTAAATGTTTAATATGTTCTTATGCTAGATCCCATTAGATACGCCAGCCAGGCTATGATGATTAGCAGCTGATTTTGATCAGTTAATAAAACAAAAAGGAAGATGAACAACATGTATCTCCAGACAATCTTGAGATGAGGCAATAAAATCAAAATAATGTCAGTGCCAAAAGGAAACTTACAGACGTTAAAAGTGCACATTTGACAGGGCCATTACCTGCAATGCAACCAAAAATGATTTGTTTGCTCCCAGATTGTTCTTTATTAAAAGACAGATAATTTTGTGAAAGCTATAAAGCTAAGAGCCCTGTTTCATCATCTGCATTATCCCACCTAAAGCACAAGTGAGTGATGGATAAATTGTAATACTGCACCTTTGCTCTTCTCAAGAGCACCACAGGGGGGTTGCAGGACATCAGTGGGGTTAATGACAGTATAATGAGGTACAGCTATCTTTGCACACTTGTGCTGTCGTTTTCTGTGCAATTTCGCATGAGATGTCAACAGGTCCACCTTGGTGCCTTTTAAAAAATGTGCAATTCTATCAGCTGTGCATCTGGTAAATGGCGGGTGAACTGAGCATTCATACTGAATTCTGTGTAAAGAGAGGATAAAAAAATAAATCTTTTTTTTAATAAAGACCTCATTCAGTTCTTAGCAGAAAGAGATGATGGTAATTTGTGTAGACTGGGAGACATCTAGCTCATTGGACACAGAAAAGGAAATGGAGACAAGGAAACTTGCACAATAGGAAATGACTTGCTGCTGGTGAATTATAGCTTGTTAAAAATTGTAGGATATTACATTTTTAGTCCTTGTCAAAGACTGTTATGTAACTGATGGAAAATCCTGTGTCTTCTGTTTTTGTGTTTGAAATTACTTTTCAGTCAATCTGCTCAATGCCTATAAGGGTGGGTTTTGTGTGAAAAAAATAAAGATTGTGTCATTACCGAAATAGAAAATAACCACGTTAAGGACGTGTTTAAATTTCCAACATCCAGTGAAAACTGTTTGGGTTATCAAACAAGGTATGGAACAAGCTGCTCTTCCATGTTGTTGAAGACATTACACATTACACACAGTTGGATGAGATCCTCAGATCCATTAGCTACTAACTCGGGCTGAATGGCCTCTTCTTATTTGTAGCTGTTCTGATGAAGGGAAATAGGATATTTTAATGTAACCCCAAGCAATCGCTCGTGTTGTACATTTGAATTTCCTCCACAGCCTTTACCTGCTTTTTTTATTTTTCATCTGGTGGTGTAGTGGCTGACACTGATCAGGGAAGCAAAGCATCGATGAGTTCTTTGGTAGAAAAAGGCAGCTCAGTTCAGTATATTGTCAAATGCACAAGTCCAATGACATGCTTACTTGTATGTATGCTCCAATACAAAAGACATTCAAGGAATCGCCAAAAACAGAAACACAGAACAGTAGCAGCAATAACAACACATTAAACAACACACAGTACAACTTAAAAAAAGATCAGTGTGCGCCAGTGGTAGGGGTAGAGTTCAGTAATCTGACTGCTGGTGTGAAGAAACTCATTTTTTATTCAAGGTACCTTGAAGGGAAAGGCCAAGTTAAAAAGCCAATAATGTTGTGTAACATATAGCATGTAATAATATATAAGTTACTCAACCGATACACTGGTCTTTGGAAAGTGGTTGCACTGTGCCGTAGCTATATTTTATGCTACATATTTTTTTGGTGCTGTGCAGACAGGACTTCTTTCTTGTTTCTTAATGCTGCTACTCCTGAGGCAAGTAAATCAAACGCCGTTACTTGATGATATATGAATCAAATACACAGTGTCAATACATTTTACAGAAGACAAACAGGAGGGATAGTTAGATGCAGTTTAAGGGGTGGCGTGTCTGGTTCTGTATTGCCCTTTTTTTCTTTCTCACTAAATTGCATGGTTAAAAGCACGACTCTATTCCAGGTGTGGTTTGACGTTGCTCCTCCTGGGCACTGACCTCGTCTCCTGAGCGTGTCGGGGGCCCATAGCTCAAAAACCCGTCCCCGCCCTTCCAGCCCCGGCAGTAACTTCTGTTGCCGTGGTCGGAGGAGTGTCTGTTGCGTAGTCACACAGGGGGCGCTGTCGGCCTTCTGGACATCGGGGTTTGGACTGATGGCGTGGGGCTCCTCATCGCACTTCCCCTACGCCTGCTGTACCCGCTGTGGAGGAGGCTGCGCTGTTCGGTCGTTCCTTGCTCTAACTGTTCGGCTTTTGCCTTCCAGCCCGGAACTGCATGCGCCTGCAGGTGCTGGAGCTGGACCACGTGAGTGAGGTCAACCAGGAGGTGGCGGCGGAGGTGTGCCGAGAGGGGCTGAAGGGCCTGGAGATGCTGGTCCTCACCTCCACCCCCGTCACGCCCAAAGCTCTGCTGCACTTCAACAGTGAGTACAGCGCCCCTCGTCCCCCGCCAGGGGCCCGAGGAGCCCGTGGGCACAGTCCGTTTCGACCACCGAGAACGTTCGGGGCTTGTTTTTTTACTTGGGCGTGTCTGCCGTGAATGTTTTTAAAAAACCTATTTCGAAACAAAGCGTTCTGTCCCTGATAGAAATACTGTAGTTATATCATTTTCGTGGCAGCAGTTTGACTCAAAGGCAGTACATTTTGAAGAGGTGTGAATCCAAACTCACATCAGGAGATGGTTAGTGTTTAAATAATGTAATAAAGTCACATTATATAATTATTTTGATTAGGACGTAAGTTTGAAAGTAAGTTGCTCTCCTCTGTTTTTAAAGGGATTTGTGTGGTTATTTTAAAAAAATGATCAAAAAATTTCCAAGCTATTCTTTTTAATCTCCTAAATGATTGCAGTTGTCTATTGCACAAATGAAGAAGTAATAGGTTTATTCCATGCTGAAAAGAGAAGAAAGAAAACACAAACCCTTCTTCGGGTGTGAATATATGGAGTAAACCTACAGTATTACTTGTTCCTTTGCAGCCTACGCATGCTGAAGCAGCTACCCACCTGAACGATTGCACAAATGGCTGACTTTGTAACTATTACTGTCAGTTATTCTTCAGCACTCAAATTACAGAAATAAAACTGGACGCTTCGCTCAAGAGTAATGCAAGAAATCTGTTTTTTGTTTTGACCCATCCTATAAACTAAACCTTTAGCAGTTGTTCTGTTAGATGCACATGTGGAGTTACACTTTTTATGCGCTGCACATCAGATGAAACTCATCACTTCTCGGTGCAACACATTCACAGTTAAATAATAAGAAAATAATTTCCGATCACTGGATGCACTGACATTTTATTGAACAATACTTGTCACGATTATAGTCCCCCCTCCTTAAGGGTGCTCCAGCCCTTTCACGTGAGACTTTATTCTATGCACCTGCTCCCTATTCCCAGCCCACCTTAAAAGCCAGGCGCTGACGCTCATCCGGGCTCTGCATCTGATTTCCATATCGTGCGAGTCCAGCATCTGGAAGCGCCTGGTCCCGATAAGGTTTTAACCCCTGTTCCTGTTCCTTGTCTGCCGGTTCCGACCCGGCCTTTGTGTTTTTAATTTCTTGTTCTGATGGATCTTCTGGTTTTGAACTTACCCTTGTGTTTTGGATATTCCCTAAGGACTTCTCTTTTGGATTGTTCGCCTCGGCCACACCTCCCCCGTGCACCAGCGCACCTTGGACACGCCCCCCTGTCTTCAGACCCATTTTCCTGCATGACGTTTCCCTAGTGTTTCCCCACTCCGTCGGATGGTGTCGTCCGCATAGGGTCCGGAAAGAACTGTCCGTTACATACTGTACATGACATAACTAAATGGATGCTGATTAAAATTTCTTATCAGTATGGTTTATTTACAGGGGACTGTGAATGTTGCAGGCTAGTACTGTGTCTTGACCACCATTGGAAGCAGTAAAACCTGCACAGCACATCCCTGCCACATGTTTTGCACGTTGCACATGCTGTCTTTTGGGATTCTGTCCCCTGTTTCAATAATAGCTTGAACAAGTACGTCCCTAGTCTCTGAGTCCTAGATGACACGTCATAATAATTCACCACAAGCATGTTAAATTGGGCTCAAGTCAGGTCTGCTCAAGCCCTATATTCTGTACAAGCTCTACTCTGCTTCTACGACGTGACTCGCAAGAGAAAGAACATGCGCAGCTGGGCTGGAATAAGTATGAGCCCACAGGAGTGGCAGCAGTTGAGTTCCCAGGACATATTCGATGTAACACCTTGCTGTCACCACTGATCACCACAAATGGAGCTCTGTAGTGAACTGACACTCCAACCCAGACCATCACACTTGGCTACCCTGGTCAGCTGAACTCTTCTACACAACAGTTATAAATTGTAGAGGGCCTGACTCTACCGCTGGCCAGTTCACCAGTACTGTTGCTCGCACCACCTCATTCCTTTATGATGATCAATGCTGTTGGGCATGAGACCGAGACCTGTGTTTAAGCCTGCAGATGATGAGTGGTCAGGTGCTTCCACACAGATAAATTGCTGATTCATGGATTATTGTGACCTGGTGATTCTGATACAGTAATTACTAAGGCAAAACAATAATGAAGATGGAGCTGGATGATGTTCTGACCCTGGTTAGGTGTCCTGATTAGTGTTCTCCAAGATTATCACCTACTGTATCAATGACAATGTGTTTGGCTCTTGTCAGTTGTGAGTGTGGTGACCATGAATTCTGCAGACAAATAACTTGTCCATTGTCCAATATACCGCTGATACAAAGGTATTCACTTAATACACAGGGCATATTGCTGCCTGTGCTTTCTGTGTTTTTCTTGAGTTCTCACTAGGCTTGATGTTCAAAAGGTTAAATCAGCTCTTTCACAACTTCTGTAATTTAGAGCATGTATTTGAAATGTATTGTGAATCAGGCATGGATGATCAATTAATCAAAAAAAATGTCATTAGCTTTTAATCAATAGCCAAAATCCATGTAGTCTGTTTTTCTAAAACACAATACTGGATATATTATATGCTGACCTCAAAATCAAATCCCTGCTTCTGTAAACTACAGGTGTTTGTTGCAACCTAAAGTCGATTGTGGTGCAGATTGGGATAGTGGATTATTTTGAAGACCCCAATAGCCCAGAAGCCAGGAAGCTTTTTGATGAGATGGTGAACAAACTACAAGTAAGACTTATGCTACTTAAATTTCTTTTCTTTTACATTTTTGCTCAGAGACAATGTAAACTGTGATTTATTTACTCTGAAGGTTCTCCTGTGGATTTAAAATAATGCAGTAGCAGGGACCAGTGTGAAAGAAAGTATACAGCATTGTCCATAATGACGGTAAATGAAGGCAGGTCATAATTTAGGTACTGTAGCTGGTAGATTCACAATACTCCTGCTTCTCACTGAACATACAACTGGATATGTGCTTCCGAGGAATTTTAGCTTCTGATTTGAAAGAGGGTACAGATCCTACAGTGCTGTATCCTACACCAGGTTTCAGCCTAGTTTTTAAGAATGCTTTTGAACTTTTTGCTTTTATGAAAATAACATGCAACATTTAATTGAGCATTAACTGCTGTTTAGAACAGATGAGCTTTCAGCAAAGCCCTTATCATCAATTAAATGGTAAAAGAAGAGCAGCAAGACGGTGTGAAAAAGCATAGAAGCTAGTCTTTTTTCTATCTGATTCTTGCTAACTTTGACATGACTGTGGCTCCAGTTAAACCATTTCGGCTCCAATGAGTGACCAATGAATGCTTTTGCTTCTACTGTCTGTCTCTTGAGTGTGCTCCAGCCATAAACTGTTTATTCAGATGATGGTGCTAGCAGGTAATGCAAAATATATTTCCAAATCTGGTTTTATGTACTGTACATTTGCCGAATGGAAGATTTTGAAGATGCTGGTATTTAATTTAAAAACCAAAACAAATCCCTACACTGTAGTCATGCTAATCCAAACATATTTAAATAAGCACAGCAGCGCCATCTGTGGACTTTGCCTCAGTACTACAGTAACATTTGAGATCTGTATGAAACACTGGCAGAAGAGCAAATAATTGGAAGCCAAATTTCTTAAGGTAAAGCACGTGACTGTCAGTGTATTTTTCTTTTCAACCACACCTATGCACTGCTACGGATTACAGATCAGGTATCCTTCAAAACGAATTTTGTTCTGAGATGCTGAAGATAGCTAAGGCTAGAAACAAAAAAATTAAACCCAGATGTGAAAATCAATAACAACAGTCTATTTAAGGTGATTGACTGGGTTATGTATTTAATATTATTAATTACTTGATGTCTCCTTTATGCATGCAATAAAGGGTTTTAGGAGTCCATCACAGCTGTGCAGTGTAGTTGTGAGAGTGGTCAAGGCAGTGGGACAAGTGCAGACAACAAGAGAGGAAGCAATCTAGATGGAGTGTAGACACATACAGTATGTAATATTTCTGTTCTTACAAACTAGGCTTCAGGTGGTGTGTGCCTTTCTATCAAGGAAATACAAAAACCTTTGGACCCCTATCACCCCTATTTTTCCGTCATAAGGGTAATAACGTTTTGTGTGAAAGAGACATAACTTAAAGATTAGTGTAGGTTTAGCCACAGATCTGGATGTTATACTGTACCTCACCGTGGCAAACAGTAGAGAGAGTTACTGTAAGTTCATGTCATGGTTGGTTTGTTTTAAAACGTAGTGGTAAGCTGCCTTCATTTGTGGTAGATATCTACATATGTGAAAAGAGAACACTGTCTTGAATTCCAGAGTAGCTGAGCAACATATCAGTCTCTGGACCTCTGAATCCAGTAGACATTAACTTATGTTCCTTAACCATCATTTTCTCATAGTCTCTCTCAAGTGCAGAACCAAGCATAGTGATGTGTGATTTAAGTAAATTCATATCGTGCCCGGTGATGCCCACATGAGCAATTTGGCAAGTCAGAAAAACATGAAGAAGGGCCATGCATTTAAAACCATAGGTATAAAGGCCATCATTAGTGGATAGATTATGGAGATGTAGGGGCCCTTTCTGTTAGTGGGGTGTTTAACTGCATAGGGCAGTTAAAACAGGAAAGTTAAGCTCTTCATTCACTGTGTTGAGCTTCTAAGGGAAACCCACCAATCGACACTCACATACTGAGAAAACTGTTACAGGTTCATGGAGTGCACTGTCTGCAGGGTGCATCATCTTTGAAATTCTCCCCTTATGCTAGAGGCTTGAAGCGTTTCTGAATGTGAACTTCACTAGTGCCATTCATTATTTATCTAACAGGAGAAAAACCACATAGAAAAGATTTTTCCCTGAAGTGTCTTCTTCCATTTATATTGCACTGGACGAAGTGGCACATTCCCATACAAATCTTGTCAAGAACAGAAATACCTGGGAGCTGATCTTTTCAATCCAGTCCATTCTAGGATATTATTAGACTGTCTTCTGTTTTTTTTTTTTATGATGAAGAATCGATTGACTAAAAAAATTGCTGGGGATTATTAAAAATAATTCAAATTAGCTAGATAGTCTTGAAATAGATTTAATTAACCTGAGACAGATGCATATCAATTTTCATTCATAACAATTTTTGTTTTGGTGATATACAGCATATGGTATTACAATTAATGGGGTAGCACACTGAATTGGGATGAGCCATTGGATTCACGACTGAGAAGTTGTGGGTTCAAGTCCCCACTGCAGTCACTGCTATTGTACCTTGAGTGAGTACATTACCCTAATTGCTCCAGTACCCAGCTCTGTAAGTAGGACCCAGCATTGCTGGGGTGTCATCCCAGTGGTGGACCAGCGTCTGCTTTCCAGACTGTTTCTCGCTATGGAAACCCAGATGACCTCTGGCTTGCTGAGCTGCTGTGGTGGTCTGGGGTAGCCTTCGCGTTTTATACCAGCAGATATCGATCTTCAACATAACAAAGGTGGGATGAGTGTTAATGATATGATATGATACAGATTCTTTTTTCAATGTGTTTTTACAGGCCCTAAAGAAGAGACCTGGGTTTTCAAAGATCCTGCACATAAAAGCAGACAGCGTTTGCTAACCTCCCCGCGGGTGCCAACAAGGCACAGTTTACCTCAGAAAAGAGACACAATCTGAACAGCCTTTTTCGCCACTTTCCACCAACAGAAAGGATGAAACAAGCCAACAAAAACATAAAATAAACACAGATCAAACAAACGAAAAATGACAGAAGCACGGTCAAACCGATTCTCTCAAACTGGAGGCACATGGGCTATAACATTGTAAAGCAGCCGTTTATATAAACATGTACTTTATAAACAAGACGAACAAAAAAACGAGAAATGAAAAACGCAGCCCTCCACTGGTGTTGATGCTGGCACTGTGATCGAGGAGTGAAGAAAGCAGAGACACAAGCATTTTTTTTGTCTTGTTTTCGGCTGTCTCTTTTGAATGGGTGGAAAACTCTTTCGGACGCAAGACAACAGCTGGACGAGATCGTTCCTGTGTATCCCGAGGAGGGAGTGTAGCCCCCGTTGTGACCCCTGCATCTTGCCAAACAGACGGGCGCAAGAAGACATTTTGTTTCTCAATAGCACAGAGCAAGCCAGCTAAACTTTTCCAGGAACTTTTCTATAAGATTGTAGGATATAGGATGAATCTCGCCGTGCTTTTTAAGGATATGATACTCGCAGAGCACATACAAAAAGGACCAGAGAAGCTGCATTGATTTGAGCCCTTTTACACTGGATTTCTTCCAAACAATTTAGTTACGTTCGAGCAGTATCAGCTAATACAGCATCCAGAGCACAGGAATCTCCATGCTAATTCCATACTACTTTGATTAAAAAAGATACCACTTTTAAGTCCTGCAAAACTATTACTAATTTCCCAAAGCCTCTGCCTCAATGGCTAACAAAAGTACAATTAAATACACTGTGTAAGTGACAAGTGTGTGTGTGTCTTGTGTTATACAGTTTTCAAGGCTATTTTGAAAATAACCTTCCAGAGCAGAAAAATGGCTTCAATGAAATTGTTACTACTGCAATGAAGTGCTTCCTAACAGTCTAATAGAGGTTCAGAGGTCAGAAGGAAGCAGGAATTCATATTTGCAATGTTTTCGGTGCCTCTTCCAGTTATGGAGAAATAGTCACACTGGAAGGGTTCACCTGATGTCAAATAGGTGTCACCTAATTAAAAAAAACAGCAATAATAATGTTAAAACTGAATGGCATGATAAAAGCAGTAGTAATCATTACAGAAAGATGGTCAAAAATAACACTATTTAATAGTTCTGTCGCTGGAATCGGGGAAATAAATCCAAACTTTTCTTTAATCTCAGATTCTATTCAATTCAGAGAAAGACAAAATGTGCTCAACTGTGGGAAGTGTTTTTCAGGGCCCTTTGTAAGCATTTTCAAATTTACCTACTGTAATTTGGTAGCAAAGCAATAGGCCGTTAGAACAGTAAAAATGATGACCTACTGTATGAGAGAATGGAGGAGTTTTAAAATAGCTACCTCCACTTAATATCCACAGATATCATTTAGCAGTGCTGAATACTGTATATGACACATGGACACACACACGTCTGTTCATTAACAAAACACCAGCTTGGAAATAATTAGACTTGAACTTTGTAATCTTACTGAAGAGCCAGAATCCCCAGTGGTCTACTCTTGTGTTCCTCTTTTAAATTGCAGATGACCTCTTCTCCTGTCCCTCTCCAAGCCTGTCAACTCCATGGAGCACCGTAACGAAGAGAGCCGTGTCTTGCATTCAGGAACGTCAGAGTCGGGCGTTTGCAAGGAGGGTCTTTAGACTCCCTGTCAGACCTGAAGTTGATGTGTTCTTTTTCTGTTGTCAGCAGTACAGTCTTTCCAAGCCCCCCTCTCCAAGAAGTGACTCGCTCTTCAGACCAGACGCAGGAGCTCCAGGGAAGGGGGCAAGGAGAGTCAGCTGCTATTCCATACGCAAAAAAGTATTTTCATGGCCTTGGGCGACATGCTGGTTTCTTAATGACAGTGGTCGTGTTGTTAAAACATTCGTTCTAAGATCTTTCGTTCACATTGGGGGTTGCAAACAAAACAGTACTGATGCCATAAACCTTATTGCATTGCCATTGACAATTTTTTTTTTAATATCCTATGTTATTTTAGTTACATGACAGGAAACTCAAGGCAATAAAACTGCATAATTTTCATATATATTCCATGTATCTATAGTTCAGAATGGGTATCTTATGTGATACAAAAAGTACTGTATGCCATGACTGAAGTCAATAGAACTCTGTTATTGAAACATTTTAAAAGGCATTCATGAAATATGCAGGTATTTGTGAAAGAAAAACACGTGGAAGTGGAAAATCTATGGTGCTAATCAAATAGTTACGTACCGCAACACAACCCATCTGTGGACAACGTCATCTGTGCACAGACTGTATGCAATTTTTTATGATATTATGTATTTCTGAGTGTAGAAGTACTTTTTATTATGGACTATGCATTACAGGTACCTAAATGAAGCAAAAAAAAGAAACACAAATGTTGCCGGATAGCTTAAATCAGTCAGATCTGCTTTAATTAAGCGATTTGCAACCCCTACATGATGAAATGGATCACAGCTCGCAGTGTGCTACAGAGCCCTTTGCAGCTCAGTATAATCTCTCCTCGGCCAACCATGCTCTGTGCGTGCACGTGTTGCCAGAAGTCTCTTCTGGTTCGAGTTAAAGGCAATCCGATGAGTTTTGCAGTATTGTTGTTTTTGGAATGGGTCAGGCTCCATATGCTAGATGATTGTTTTACAATGCCAGCTGAATATCCCGATTGCCTTAGTTCATATTTCATAAATGCTGAATAATTAACTGCGATTATAATGCACTTTACATCCCAAAATGCTTTACATATACTTTAGTGGTGGAACCAGGTCATCTAACCCTACCCTTAAGAGTGGTGCTCTGGGATTTTAATGACCAAATAGAGAGGATCTTGGTTTGTAGTCTCATTGGAAGGACGACAGCGCCCACAGAATGGTGTCTAGTCACCATACTGGGGCACAGCTTTTAGAAGTTTTGGTCCAGAGAGAAAAAAAACATGTGAAGGAACATCACATATTCAGACATATTCATGTCTTTGCAATATGAGGAGAAAAAGGACCACCTAGAGGAAACTGACAGGAACACAGGGAGAGCACAGAAACTCCATACAGACAGCACCCCAGGTCCAGAACTGACCCCAGGGCCCCAGTGCTACGATGCAGAAATACTAACCACTGCACCACCGTGCTGCTGCTGTTCTTTTTGATTATGGAAAAAAATTAACTCCAATTCAGCATTTGGCAAATCAAGATCGATGGAGGAGCATGCTGTACAGTATTTACAGTATGCCTGCGATTTTTAGGAGAGAGGTTTAAGCTCTGTCTAAGGAAAGCAAAATCAGATCGGCTTGCCTTTATTCTCATCTTCCTTCGTACATATCAGTCCACAGTACTGTGTCTGTCCAGCAACTGTGCTCTTTCAAGTTGAGCTGCAAGACTCTTGTGAACCGCTCATTAATCTTCATTTCATGTTTGAGATCTAAGCGTGAGTAAAATGCAAAAGAGCATACACAGAGCTCAGTGTGGACGAAAACCAGTAATATTCACGGAACTGTATGTGGTTTGAGTGCAAGCTGTAGAAACACACCATCTCATCTAATCAATAGTTTACAGCCAGCATTTGTCACATGCAGTAGGCAGCAAGAGAAGAGCAGACACAGAGTTTTTAAACGGAGGAAATATTTATATTAAAGATGTACTGTAAATGCTTTGCTTCACGCTGTTGAGTGTAATTTGCCCTCAAGCTGTGGTGTAAGTGAAGATTAAGAATTGTAATGTAGTGTACCACTGACTGTGGTGATCATAATCACACACTAATTGAGTGTACTGTTTCCAGAGCAAAATTGTGGCAGGACTCTTGAAGATATCTATTCGCATTGCCTCTGCCTCTGGTGAGAACTAGCAAAACAAGAAGTGACCCTTGGAAGTGATTGCTCATATTTTTTTTGATACATTTTCTCCAGTAAATGTGCCCAGGATAGTCTTACATTTTAACTCACTTCATGAGTATATTACAAAATGGTCATACAGTGATTGATCACATCCATTTAGATCAGATAATGTGTTAAGCAGAGCTGAGCAGATGCTGTAATGTGTCCTTTCAGTGACCATAATGCTTTCTGTTTTTATCCATGAATTTATGGAATGGATATCTTAGATCAAAATCAAGTTTCATGGCTGAAAGTGTGCAGAAATAATTCATCTGTTGTCTTCTAATGTTGAATCTTTTCAAGGTGGGTGGTGTCACAATGTGCTTTCCAATAGTGGAATCTCATAACTGAGCATTTGCGAAGATACTGTAAAAAAGCTTTTTAGAAAGCACAAAAATAAATTTGTTTCAAACATTATTTTCTGGAACCTGACAAATTTCAAATGAGCAGGAACACTAGAACCTTTTGAAGTTTTAATGCTTAGGTCAAGATTATAAGCATGCAACACTGTCCTAAAAGAGCAGGATGGGTAATTAGGTTTAAAGCATCGACCATTAAGAGCCACTTGTTTGAGGACATAGAGGAAATAGCTACAGGAATTAGGAAAACAGAGAATTATAGATTTGCCAGAAAGGACAGATGTGTCTTCTGACATTCAGCAAAGAGAGGACAGGAACCCGTTTAAAGATAATTGGGAGAACATTCTAAAGTGGAGGTGCTTTTTAGCTGAAGGGGCATCTGCCTAAGTTGGATTCTTTGATATAGGAGCCATGAGCAGGCCAGATGGGAACACAAAGTGCCATCTAAGAAAACTACAATCAATTTTACAGAGACATGGGAAATCAACGAGGAGTTGCCTGATGGAAATTCTGAACCTGTGAGAACAGTGAAACTCAAAGTAGGAGACAGGAGAGGAAACTACATGGACATGGATTTAAAAGTGAGGACTTTAAAAATCATTCTTTACAGGCAGTAAAAATGGTCTAGAGACAGACACTGTGTGTAACGCTTGCCAGAGGGGGAAGAGTGATTGCATAAGTAACATGAACAGTATGTAGGGCAAGTTGATGTCAGTGCTTTCACAATACACTGGCAGATTAGCTAGTTACAGTAGTTTAAGGACTTAAAATATGTACTATGTGGAAGACATTCCTTTGTGTCAAAGGACGATTGGAGTGTTAGTTTTAGCATGAGAAAAGAAGAAATAGTGTGATCTGACGTGAAAAGATCCTGTTGGGTTTGAGATGTTGCCCTCAGTTTTTGCAGACCAGCAACCAGCTGTGAGCAATTCTTGAGATTCCATTCCTCGGGAGGGACAGGTGATGTTCAGTCTGTCCCTGAGCACATAGCTGTCCAACCTGACCTTGCATCTTGAGATCTCGGCTTCTTTTCATTTGTTGCCAGATTTGTATTGCTTTGCTCTGCTTCACTTTTAATATGGTGAGGGTTTGTGTCATTGGGAAAAATTAAAGTCTCTTGCAATCCAGACTCGGTATTCAATCAGTTTAGGCAATGATGGTTAACAGTAGTCCCATCAGGGACTGGTTAACAATAATCACCCCAACACTGGGAGTGCTACAGTATGCCTATTATCTTTGTCACATACTGGTCCTACACTGCACCAATGTGAAGTGATGAAATCACTGTTTAATATTTATGTGAACTGCTCTTTGGTGTTTAAGTCAAAGGGAATAAGATATGTACTACACTATAGCTAATCCTTTCCCTGCTCATAAAATTAAGAATGCCAAAAATGTTAAGAGGAAATCTTAACATTTAAATTGCCAACAGCACACACAAGAACTTAATTAGACTTTTCAAACTGAAGAGCAGGAAAAGCTTTACCCCAGGTTTTGAATTTATGACAATCTGTCTGATGAAGACTTTAAAACCCTACTTTTTATTTCTAATAAGTACAGTATTTGATGCTGTCATGACAAGGAAAACTGTTGGATTTTTAGTCTGTATCCATTGTCAACCCTCATTGCCTCTGTACTAAACCAGCTGGTGACCTAAAAAAAAACTGGTTCTCATATTAGCACGTTCTCCAAAGCTACAGAAATTATCCAAGAAAATGGAAAAATGTATTTATTATAAGTAGTGTTAAATTTGCCGTTAAGTGTATAATAAATATTTATATTAAATGTAGAATGACAGAAGTCCTATAGAGATGGAAAATATATAACAAGAGAGGATAAAAGAGTATTTGAAATATTTATTTATATAAAAAAGAGACATCTATATCGTTGGCATGTTTATATGTTGTAAAGACATCGATCATCATGTTGCCTTTTATAGCTGGTTTGCTGTAGTCATTAGATAATTAGGTGTTAAGAGTTTAATTGCTTGCACAGGTGTTTTGCTTTTTTATTTTCTGTCAGTTGGTGCACCAATGGAAAAAAAAAACTCTTTTATTAAATGCTGTTTGGTGTTTTTCCAGTGTTAATATATTTCTCAGTATTTGTGATGAATGATGCACTTTAGGACTTTTCCCTAGTGCTTTCTGCCGCTTGTGATTGTGAGCTCTACAAAATGGCAGTAAATCATGCTTTATCGGTGTGCTTAGTGTGAAGATGACTGTTTCCATAGTTTTGTCACTTGTGCCAAGACATTCACTTCTTCTTTGTGCTCACGTGACCCAAGACTCCCTCCTGTCACATCCCCCTGCCTGTCCAAATTCTTGCTCTCCAAATATCTCTTTTTAGTTTTTATGTGCGTGAACATAAACTTACTTTTAGCACAGGGAAGGAGGAAACTGGTAACATTGATGTTGGATCAAAGAAGTTCACAAAGTGCGGGACTTCGTTTGTGCCCCAGTTGCTCCAGTCCACCCTGTATTAGCTGTCTCTGGAAGCCAGCATTGCTGGGATTAGGCCCTGTGATGGACTTGTGTCCCACCCAGGGGAGGGTCATGAGCCCTCTGCTCCTTTCATGCCTAGGAACCAGGATAAGCTCTGGCCCATACAAGCAAGCCTTTGTATGTAACTTGAATGGAAATACCTACATTGTGTGTCACACATAATTGCAGAGAAAATAAACCATATTAAATTGAATATCTTTCACATCTTGAACAGTCCATGTCAATATTACTGTGACATTTTCAGTTGCCTGACCGATGGACTGTATCACTAGGGTAATACATTGGGGTGGGTATGTTTGTCCCCTGATTTGCATCACAGATTTAAAGTAACTTATAGTGCTGCCAAATGGAGGTTATTCTAATTATACTTATCCATTTAATTGATTCTAGTTTATGTAGTTCTGATTAATTTTATAGCTGTTGGAATAACTCCTGCAAGTGTATCTCAGCTTTCCGTACAAATTCAACAGGAAAGCTCTTGCAGATGATTAAACTCTAAATAAAAATGTCCACTTACGGTATTTTTACCCATTGTCTTGCCTGACATTTTGAGTATAGAGAATTTAATTTATGTTAGTTTTTTTGTTGTTGAACATCCATGCCACAGACTAAATGAACAAATTTGTTTTGTTTTGCAGTGAAAGTGAGCCAGTGTATTTTTGCGGGAATATTTTCAGACATGAAACTGTTAAGAAAATGATGTGAAGACAAAATAATATTAATCGACGGAAATGATGTCATGTCACGTGGGCCCGCTGAAAAGAATGTGTTTGAGGTGATTTCTGAAAGAAATGAGTTGGGTTGTCTCTACAGTTGAGCATTTCATTACACTTGTGCGTATGACAAATAAACTGAACTGAACCATCAAAACTCTTTCATATTCTGAATGATACCATCTTATATTTATTGGATTCTAAACAGCATTGCTGTGATTAATTTAGAGTCCTCGTGGCCTTTATATTTAGGCAGGGATGAGATATTTTGAGAGCGCTCCTATTATTTTTACACTTCTTTCACACCACAACGCAAGGCATTGCGTTGTCATGGAAACTATATTTCTGGCTCATGCCAGTCATTCCTGAAGCCCGCTGCTCAGTGAGTCTTGGGATTGCGGTACTACCACACAGAAGAGTGAATGCCAAAATGTTTACATTTGTATCGATGTTGTGGCCTTGTTTTGGTCAGCTACATCAATCCATTGCACTGAAAACTTCAATCGGGATATGTTGCAATATTGCACTGTAACATATTAGCATTATTGCAAAGAGTTCAGTTTAATTTGTTCCTGAATTCAAAAGATTAGGCCTGGTTAACATACCTTTCACAAGTCAAGATACGGTCAAGTGCTTTAAAGGTTGAACTT